AGAGACAAAACCTTAAATTTCAACTGTAGAAGGCAGTCAGTCCGCTGTTTACCGCAGCTTTCAATGCCAGGTGAGACGCAGTTGAACGATTTATCAGCGGGAAAGTGACTTTTAGGACATTGGAGCCTAATGTTAGCTTATAACTGGCTACTGTTATTTAGCTCTTGTCAGCTTTCCAGAGATGAGGGTCACATGTCTGGCCTGCGAGCGTGTTTTTGTGTTAGAGCTCTGACTTAGATGAAGACAACATTTTAATAAGATGCCAGTGGCTTTTTCTTTCCTTGTGTTTTTGGTGAAGGGGATAAAATGTAGGGTATGACTGTGCAGAAGTGAATCTAAATGTACCTTCACGCAAACACCTGTGACTTCTTTCTCCTTCGGTTTGCACATTGCATCTCCGCTCTCTAGCACCACATGCGTAAAACACCATTAGTTGCAAGGCAGATGTCCTTTCCCTCCACTGTATTCAGATATAGTGGGGGAACATAGTGGCTTCCACAAACTGCCAACCCGCTGATATTTATTCTAGATTAATTATATGGGTCAGGTTAATGGAAGATGTAATTAGACACAAATCTGTATATTTGAGTACAGTATCCTTTTTACTAAAAAATTACTGATTTTACATAATTTTTGTTATATCATGAAGGCAGAAGAAATGAATCAAATCTACTCTATTTTATTCTAATTCGAAGCGCTCCGATTTTGAACACATTTTGAAATGGGAGTTTCTCCCTATCGTTGAATGTTTTCTTCTCATGTTTTCCCTCATGTGGCTGTATGCGTTTTATGCAAACACTCGAATACCTCGGAGAAGATGAACACTGTTAATCTTCTCTGGCGATCCGCCTGGCTGTCATTGAAACGCCAGTATTGGCACTGAGTGACTTCAGAGAGCGAATGAAAGGAGGCACGAGCAAAATCCTGGCCGCTTTCTCCTGGAGATGAAAGAGTGTGTGTCACAAAGAGCTCTTAAGTGTGGTTGTCTGTTTCTCTGTGCAACCTTTCACCTCTGCTGCTGCTGTGGCTGCAGCAACATTTCTACATGTGGAACAAAAGCTTCAAACAGGGGAAGCTAGTGCAATACTGAGCACTTTTTCTGTTTATTTAACAAAATGTCATCAAAGAAGGCACTAAGCTGACCAATGAGGTGTGCAAGATAGACTGAGGTGTCGTAGTCACATCTTCATTATGTTAAACATAAGCATAGAGATGTGTGTTTGAGTGCACAGAGCTCTGAATGTAATGTGTACAGAAGCACGTCCATAACTGAAACGTTGAATCAGCATTATGTATATAATAAGGGCCTCCATACAAGAACCTTGTGGCACACCATAGGGGAGGGAAGTAGAAGATGACTGTACTTAAAAACTCAGCTTAGATAACAGATTCTGGTTATCATACGTCTTAGAATAAAATATATTACAGATGTAAAGTTATATGCAGACGACAGCGTTTCATCATATCATCCTGCTGATTTATGAGCACAAACTTGAACTTGGATAAATTTGTGATTTGCTCAGTTGCCTTGATTCTGCTGCTATAAACACAAGAGGTTTCACATAGTCATGAACCTGATGGAGACTCTATATTGATATTGGGAACAGTGGCGCAGTTATGTTTTCACTCACTGAGTTTTTTCAGTAAGCACAGGAAAAGTGCAGACTAACAACTGTTTAGAGCAATCCGAAGGCAACACAAACATGGTAAATGGCCCGCATTTGTATAGCGCTTTACTCAGTCCCTAAGGACCCTAAAGTGCTTTACACTACATTCAGTCATTCACACACTGGTGATGGCAGCTACATTGTAGCCACAGCCACCCTGGGGCGCACTGACAGAGGCGAGGCTGCCGGACACTGGCGCCACCAGGCCCTCTGAACACCACCAGTAGGCAAACATGGGGTTAGTATCTTGCCCAAGGATATTTGGCATGCAGCCAGGAGGCAGCCTGGGATCGAACCACCGACCTTTTGGTTAGTGGCTGACCTGCTCTGCCACCTGAGCTACAGCCACCAATATGCAACATCTCGAAGATCTGTTGCATATTGAAATGGAGTTTGGATTTCTGGCACTTCATCGCCTGGAAGAAGTTTTACTTCTTCAATTATCCAATTCAGGGTGCTTGTTAATTGTACATATTACTATTAAGATATTTCTCTCTGATTTCTGCCAGTGCTGGACCCACCCACTATGCATCATATGCTTTATTTCCAGAAGTTTCTGATTGGAGCAAATTCCAACTTCACAGCCTGTAAATGGCTGATTACTGCAGGGAAGAAGGGAGATTTGCGGGCATGCACTGGGCTGAAAGTCAAGTTGTTGATGCAGTGGTTGAGCATTACACAGGCTGCAATAATCATGATCATGTGACTGTGCAACATGGTTTCTCTGCTTGTGTTTATTACGTGTCTGCCTCACACATGTAACATTTCAGGCTGGGCTGACTGATGTTCATCAGGTAGAAAGAGCGGCAGTTTTACAAAAGAGTGAAACATTTCCATAATGGCACAAACAGATTTCTATGTGTTTGCTGTTAATAACCTGAAAAGTTTGTGGTTAATATGATTTTTGATTTTCAGCTTTTCCTGTTGTACATGTTTCTGAGAGATGGAGCTCCTTTCAGCGCCATGCTGGACCCTGGTGTGCCGGGATTGGCTGCTCTGTCTGTCAGTAACAGTCAGAACAACAAACGTGGTGAAATCTCTGCAGCGATTTCTTCTCCTCTGAGTTCATGTTTTCAGGATCAGTGAGAGAGACTCCAGAGGACACCTGCAAGCTGCCTCGGATCACCCAAACTTCCTTTCTCAGGTCTCTCT